TTTTTAGTGACATTATATTTTCAAGTTAGGTTATAGAACTCTAAAACGTGAAATTCTTTTAAGGTTCAATTTACAGGGCACTAGATTACTGTCCTATTTCAAAGCATGATGAGAATTCATTGCCAGTGAAACCTGTTCTAATTTGCAATTTGAAGATGTTTTGTGGCTACTCTAAGGAGGTTTTTGGAGAACAAACAGAGAGAGACAAGTTAAGATGTTCTCAAATATGTGTTCCAGTGGGGTTTGAGATTGGATGACTATAGGAAAATAGATGGGGAAAAAGTCAACATTTTAGACTATGAAGGGGGGGTTTACAAATGTTGAATGTTTTCTTTGATATAAAGAGTCTGATTCATAGTGGTATAGGGAGAGGGAGCATGGGAGGAACAGACGAACTCAAGATAAGGCAGAGAGGTTGGAGGGGAAGCAAGGGTGCATGGTGTTAGAAATGATGGTGAAACATGTTGATCATTATTATCCAAAGATCACATATGAAGACATGAATTGGTGTGAATGTACTTTGTATACAACCAGAGGTATGAAAAATTGTGCTCTGTATGTGTAATAAGAACTGAAATGTGTTTCGATGTCATATATAAAAATAAAAAGAAGGGGGGTTACACTATCTGGTGACTTTATGGTAAATGTAGATAAGGGAGAAGGAGACTTGAAAAATGAATACCATATGTTTGTCAAGTCTGTGTTGACAATGGTGACGTTATCTGAAATGAGGAGTACTGAAAAGGATTGTATGTGGACAATGTAAGAGTTTGGTTTTGGACACTGAAATTGATGTGTGTCTTAAATAGCCATTGAAATGCAATAATTTCTTTTCCTTAGATTGTTTAATTAAATCTAAAACCTACTTGTGGACTAGCTGTTTTTGTGTCTGTTTCCCTCTTAAAACTGTCAGCTTTTCTGTGGCCATAATGTGTCTTTCTTCTTTGTGCTTCTGAAATATAACACAGAGGCTCATGGATAGTCCGTGTTCACATGTGCGACATCAACTTGGACTCTCACATCTGTAACATGTGCTAATGTAAGGAATGATGTCTGTTTTCTTTGTGGTTATTTTCTGTGTTTGTTCTTGTTTTTAGTGTCTTCACTATAGCATTGATGTTTGGTGGTGGGCCCATAAAGGCTCAAAATTGAAGAACTTGCTTTCAGCAAGTCCACCACTTTCCATACAGTTTCTCTCTCCAAACACTTGCATCTTTCTGAGATGCCTTTGATACTCTGTGACTTTTGTTTGCTGTTGCTTTACAAGAATGATTGATCTCATTTCTTGTGCTTGCTTATAGCTTCAAAGTTCTTATGATTCAGGCTTTAATTCTCCCATGGAACCATCTCAATGTCCCAGAATCATTGTTACGTATCTCCTTGCCTGTACTCTCAGAATTTCTAGAATTCTACATTTACTCACATTGCCACGTGTCATGCTTCATTCTCTTTAACTTCCCATTAGCAAGAGAAATTCTCAAAACTCTTGCCTTGTATAATTAAGTTCATATGCACAATTACCTCTGTAAAATTATGTGGGCATTTGTGAGGTATTCATAGAATATTTAATCTATTATTTTTAGCAGGTCTACAATTATTTTAATCCAAGTTCATATTTTGAGAAAACAGTTTAGAATACTGAAGAATTTTAGGTATTCATATATATTACTGTTCTAGCACAAAATAAGAAAGGATACATTCATAAACCACACTCATTTCACAATGAAGTTGCAAGTTAGCACAAAGGGTCAAGTGAATTTGATACTGTAATAGAAGCCTTAATAGTGAAATATGATGAATTCAGATCAAAATGTTAAATCTGATGTTGTTCTTTGATGTATCACTTAAATCCACATATCATGATCTTAAAAGAATGCAAATATATAGCATTGAGACTCATTGTCAATGATGTTAACATTCTTATAAGGGTGTATATGTGGATAATATCTGTACCTAAATTGTTTATGACAGATAATGATTGTCCATTTACATGATGTGTATGTTGTGATGTTTGATAAAATTCACTATGGTTTGATTGATTGAGAGTAATCAGGTTATCTATTTAGCAAGCATCTCTTATTTCTTAGTGATGAGTAAATTAAACATCCTTTCTTCTGTGTTTAATAGAAACCCAGAACTCATTCCCTGTATCTGTATTCTTACTTAAAGTCAGTTTCTTCTGCTCTAGATTTATGACCCCAACAAGAGACGTTATGAAGTCCCAGTCCCCTTGAACATAACAAGGACTCCATCCAGCACCTCAGAGAGTCGACTCTATGATGTCCTCATTAAGGAGAATCCATTTGGAATAGAAATTCGCCGTAAGAGTACAGGCACTGTAATGTACGTGGCTCCTTTCTAACTTGGAATTTCCATGTAACTGTACATTTTTTGTCTGGTCTATTGTCCAGGTTGATACCTGGCTCAGGCCTCTTTCTGCCATTTCCAGATCCATGAGTAAACACTTTCCTTCAGCTCTGTTGTTGTTGTTGTTGTTCTCTTCCTCCTCCTCCTCCTCCTTGTCCTCCTCCTCCTTTTTCTTTTTTAAAGTTAGGGTTTTTTAAATTTTATTTTTTAGAAGTAGTTGAACACAATACCTTTATTTTATGTATTGTTATGTGGTGCTGAGGATCAAACCCAGGGCCTCGCATGTGCTAGGCAAGTGTTCTACTCCTCAGCCATGACCCCAGACCCCTTCAGCCCTGTTCTTATGGGAAGTGTTTGGCAATTTGGAATGATGGCTGAGACTGTTCCATGTTCCTGGGAACTCATCCATTCAATGTTTATGGGTTATTTAACTATACTAGGTATTGTTTTAGGAACTGTGTTCATAGATGGATAGTTCCTCTGATCTTGCCACCGCCACAATAATTTACATAACTATATTAAAAGGAAGTTGATAGTGATAATTACTCTAAGTAAATGAGCAGGTAATCAAGAGTTATGATGAGGTTACTGTGTTTGATACTTTGGAGAGAGTAGGTGTCAATTGAAGGGTTAACTTCCATTGATTCTGGATGGAGAGAAGGAAACCCCAACATAAAGCCATGCAGGTAGGGGATAACATTTGTGATAGACCAAGAACATAGGTCAAGATACAGGATGAAACTTGGCATGTCAAGGAATGAAACAAATTCAAGGCTGCGAGCAAGGAGGTGAGTGGTGGGAAATGAAGCTGGGGTGTCAGGAAGGCTTAGATCAGGGGCAGCCTGGAAGGCTTCATGAGGTGTGTCCATGAGAAGCCATGGAAGAGGGTCATCAGGGAGTGACAGGATGAGAGATACTTAAACATATCAGTCTGGAAAGCTGTAGGGAATGGACTGTTTAAGGGAAAGAGCTGAAGGAAGGCTTGTGTGGAGTGTTAGCAATTGAGATGGTGAGATGGATTGAATTTGGTTTTGTGGAGAAAACAGTGAAAACAGGCCATGTAATTGAGAAATAGAATATGAAGAAAAACTCCCAAGTTCATAGTGGGGATATCTGTGATTATTGTCATCAAAAAGACTTTGTGGTGTGTTTGGGAGATGTTGGGTTCTGGGTTGTGGTAAGAATCAAAGCTTCTGTTGTCCTTAAAAAGTCAGCATTTGCAAGGCAATAGGCAAGGTGATTTTCTTTTCTGAATGTACCCTTTGTGTGTGTGTTGCAGTTGGGACTCTCAGCTCCTTGGCTTCACCTTCAATGACATGTTCATCCGCATCTCCACCCGCCTGCCCTCCAAGTACATCTATGGCTT